CCAGACATAGTGGCAAATTGTACTATTCGGACTTCTGTACAATTTGCCGAAGGCTATGTATGTGGTCTATGGTGCTAAAGCCCTTTCGGAAACCGGCTTGTTCGGCAGGCTGGAAGTCGTCAAGTCTGTGCGTGAGACGATTCATAATGACTCTCGAAAACAGCACGTAGACGCGGCTCAGAAGGGAAATCGGTCTGTAGTTCTTCAATAGAGCGTTGTCACCTTTCTTGAAAAACAAGACCACCGCACTTCTGCTCCACGCCTCCGGTGTAATGCCACCATGGAGGACGGATTTAAAGAGCTTCTGAAGGACTTCAAGTACCGGTCTTCCACGCGCTTTCAGAAGTTTCGCTGTAATTCCATCCTCGCCTGGGGCCTTGCCGTATTTAAGGTGCTGGAGAGCCATTCTAATCTCGCTCAGACTGACGTCCGGGATATCTTCGGAATAGTAACGAATAAGACTCGCTCTTGGATCTTTACTCATACTTGCGTGTGGCTCCAACGATGACGTGTACAGCTGCCCATAGAACCTCTCAATCTCACTAAAAATCTCAGGTGTCCCGGAAACGATGCTGCCACACTCGGTCTTCAGCTTTGACAGTTGGCTCTTTCTGGCAGACAGATCTCTGGCAAAGACTTTGGAGCCTTGGTTCCGCTTGATCGCTTCTTCAATACAAGCTGTATTGAAGTTGCGTAAGTCCCGCCGCATGCATTTGGAGATCTGTCTGTTCAATTGCCTGTATGCTGTCAAATCTGTTGAAAAATGTAGTAGTCTAACAGCCATGAGATTAAGAGTGTGATCGGAGAGTTTTTGTGTTCTTCTGCGGCGGGTCTTGCAGAACTTAGCTCCGACCGCATGGACAGTTTCCACGAGCTTGTCATTCATATCGTCCACTTCATTGCAGTCTTCTAGGCACTGAAAACGGTTTTGTAACTCGAACTGAAAGGTTTCGGGACTCTGGAACAGAGCACGAGGGGGACGGAACGTTGACTTCATTAGACGAGACCTCTTCAAATTAACGTTTAGGTTCAGTGTGCCTCTAACCATTCGGTGATCGCTACCAGTTTTCACCCTTGCGATCACGGAGACATCACTGAACAGTTGTCGTCTTGTCGTCATAATGAAGTCAATTAAATTTTATGGAACCGTCGGGGCTCGACCAGGTCCACTTCATTAGTAAGCTTAAGTGGCAGTGGGCCGGCCATATAGCTCGAAGAACCGACAACTGATGGGGTAGAAAGGTTCTTGAGTGGCAGCCTCGTAAAGGTAGGCGAAGTGTTGGGCGACCCCCCACGAGATGGAGTGACGACCTGGTAAGACATGCAGGAAGTCGATGGATGCAGGTGGCTCAGGACCGTGCTTTGTGGCATTCCTTGGGGGAGGCCTATGTTCAGCAGTGGACTTATGAAAGGCTGTAATGATAATGATGATGATGATGAATGTGTATGTGACAGCTGTAATCCACGCACGATCGGAATTGCACTTTATATAAGGTAAAAAGCTGCCCCTGTGTGAAGTACCGCCGCACACTTGCAAGGACACCAAGTTTCTTTGCAGCTGCTTTATCTCTGGGCTCAATGAACCGCCCATAGTTGAGGTTCGAAGAAAATTCAACCCCCTACGACTGAAGGCGGTCAGTGTACTCCAAGGATATATTCCGGAAAATAGGAGCCAAGATGAGCGGGTTCCTTTTAGCAGTGAAAGGACACGCTTGTATTTTGGACGTGTTAAATCTCACGAGATTGGCATCGCCCTATTCGGAGACTGCTTGTGTGAGACTCACACGCTCAACCATAGCCTCTCTTTCTGAATGGATTTGATCCTGACTGGCCCGGGCACATGGTTGGAATCTCTTCACAACTGTGGACTGTCGTCTGCTTATCCATAGATACCGGAAATGAGCAGATCATTTATATGCAATAGGAAGAGAGTCGCGAAAAGAACGGACCTCTGAGGAACACCGGCGTTAGCCGCCACAGTATCGAATGAACAGCCATCGACGACGACCCGGAGAGAACGTTCACTCAGAAAGTTCTTCACCTAGATAATCTGGCCAGAGGATTAGCCGTACGCTGAATGCTTGCACAATAGACTAGCGTGCCAAACCCTTTCAAAGGCCTTCGAAACATCGAAGGAAACAGTAAGTGCTTTACCACTGTTCTCGAGGGTTTCGCCCCATAGGACTAGGAGGACTTGGCGGCTTGTTTAAAGGCTCTCTTATTAAGGCTAATATCTGGAGCTTTGCGTTCTCGAGCATCAACCAAGAATAAGTACGCTATATGCTTGTGCTCTTCTTTACGAGCGCACTCGGCGTTGAACCATGGGCGAGCTTTACCACCAATGGGCACGTCAGCAAAGGGGATTAAATACATCATCGCTTGATGTATCACATCGGTTATGGCATCCGCGCAGCTTGACGGGTATTCAGATGAGAAGCAGAACTACCGCCAAGGATGAGATGCAAAGAAATGCCGCATCTCATCCCAATCTGCTGACTTGTATCGTCACACTTGTCGCACACCGTAAAAATCGTAGTTAAGTGGGGAATATTCGTTATATTTCACTAGACAGTGGTCTCAGAAGTTCCCAAGGGTGAGGTAACCTACACGTCGTACCTGTCTAGATTGGTCGTCAGCAGAAGGTTAAGGCAGTTGGCTGTGTGCCTATCCACATCAAGTGCCCTAGTCGCTTGTTGTACAAGCTGGGAGAACCCCAGTGACAAGGCAAAATTCCATACCTCTCTCCCAGCATGTTCGGTCTTCTGGTATGGGAACAAAGAAAGAACAAGCAAACACCTATAAGAAGGAATTTCCAACTGCACTTTGAATTTTATAATCGAAAATACAAATGTAGTTGTTTATGGGCTACATTATTTACTTACTATATTATACGGTGAACTATACGCTCGTATCCGCCTTTGTTTTCGTTAAAAAACTCTGCTTCTAAATAAGGGACGAAGCAGTGAAGGAAATATTTCTGCAAATATCCCCCTTTTCTCTTTTTTAATATACAATAATATTAAAAATAATCGTTTAAAAATGGAAATGGACCTCAGACAACTCCTTACTACTTTAAAGCACTCGTAACGTTGGAATTGAAATTATTTTGGAATGAATTAAATTAAACTAAAAACAATTCGTAATATTATTGTATTCAAAATGACACAATGTTGAAAAAGTAGTAAGCGAACTGTTGAGGAAAATAATAGCCCTCTTTTTATTTTAAATAGATCGCGCTGTTATTTTAAAACATAGAGCATAGACCCTCGTCCCAGTTCCTAACTACGTGCCAACGTCTAAAATATTTTAATTCATTTTCATAAAAGTATAAATTATAAAAGATCTATCTTATTTTGCTACGATTGATGAAGTCATCAGCAACTATTATGAAAATATATATTTAAAGAACTGCACTTTCGTGATGTTACAATAAATAACCTTTATATACCCAGGGTCATAAAGTACCTTCATTACAAATTTCATGAAAATCAGTCCATTTCTGGTAAATCATGAATGAAGACATACCAGACAGACAGATAGATAGACAGAAAAAGAGGGAAAAATTCTGAATCTTTTATATCGCTTAATTATTCTTGTTTTTTAAGATACTATTAGAATATCGGACCAATATATTATGTTATGTTTCAAATTTCCAATTATATTATGTTCCAAATAACATTTTCTACAGATAAGTAACGTAACACATTGTGTGGGTTATTAATGGAAATAATAACCTTATTTTTCCCTTAACTTCATTAAAATTAGTAGTTAGTTTCATTGTTTTATTCTATTTCAGAGGAAATAGTAATTGAAACTATTTTGATTCAATGTAGATTATGTATAATACTTATTGAAAGTCACTCTTATTTTTAATTTACCACCAGTTCGGAAATATCTCAGTACTGAGAAGAACCAGCAAGAAACCCAGCAAGTCATTTTTGTTTTGCAAAAAGAACACTTTTTGCAATAAATACTGCTGTCATATTTGGTTTCGTATGCGTTCAGCATTATTGTTTGCTTATTTCAAAAATTGATCCTTTTCACTTTTTTGGAAGATTCAAACATGATAATAAAATTCCTGATGATGACAACTTGAGCAACGATGATATTTCTTCTACCAGTGGCGATAATTTTGAACATAGCTCTATTTGCTAACCTCAAAAAAGACATATTGATAACAATATATCTTTTTATTAACTCGGAATCTGATTACTGTAACATACTGTATCTATATATAAAGCCAAGGGGGAAAGGCTAAAAAGGGGTGTTTTATTTAGCTAAAAAGGAAAACGCCCGCTTATGACAAAGCTGACTTTGAATTCAAAGGTAACTCAGAATTACCGGAGATGATGTAGCTAGACACACCAGCAGAGTTCTTTGATTTTTACTCACATCAGAAATCATGGATGTTATTACTGAGCAATCTAATCTAAAGTCTATTCAGGATAATATAAACAAACCAGCAGGAATTAAGAGAGAAAAAATAGAAAAGTTTATTGCCAATGCGTTTATTTAATTTCAAACTTGCAGTTTCCTAACACTTGCGTAAAGCAAACAAAGCTCCAATACAAAATAAAACGTAGTCGTCCATCTAGCATTCTTGAAACACCGACATCAAGCTGGGGTGGCACTCCCATAGTGTTGCCTAATTCTCCAGTACCTACTAAAAGCTTCGAAAGACTCCTGCTAAACATCAAAAACTTCCTTTGAATTCAGTGTGTCGTGATAGAATTTTCATTTTCCCATTTGGGAGAAAAATACCCAACTGATTTGCCAGTATTGTACAAAATATCTTTCTTTCATTAAATGTAAACATTGTAATGTTTATTTATGTTATAAGTACAAACGCAATTGTTTTAAGGAGTCCACCAAACATAATTTATATTTTTCTTAAACATATACGAAACCATATTTGGATTCACATTAGATGACTAGGTTACATACGAAGCCATATATGGCTTCGAGTAATAACTTCTAATATGTTTATTATTTTTTTATTTCAATTTGATCTCATAGAATAATTCATGCGGTAAGGGGTTAACAATCATATATGTTACACAATTATCAACAAAAAATAAATAAGAAATGGCTTAGTACCTCATTCCTAATGGTTATTATCAATCATAAATTCTTTAATACAATAATAATGATTTATATTCTCACCAAAATATTATATAATAGTTGTACATAATGTAAAGGTATTATGCCTTAATGTTATACTTTACGTCTAAGTTAGGTTTTACGTTTATATTTCAGGTACCATATCTTTGCCCTATTGTAGTAATTTCAATAATATTTTATCGTGTATGTGTGTGTGTGTGTGTGTGCGTGTGTAGAAATTAAGTTTTTGATTGGTTTAGTAATTAACTTTGATTTGGCAATTACATTTTCCTAATTACAGAAATTATGATTGGCTGCAAACAATATTTCCTTTATTTCGAGGGCACACACAAGCCTTCTCACAGGCACAGGCTCACTTACTTACTACACTTTATAAGTTTTTAATGTAAGAAAAAGCCGGCGCGGTGCCCTAACGAGCGCTGACGGATTTCACATGTCTTCTGAATATTTATTGTTTAATATAAACGATTTTGACACTTCGTTTTTCTTCATTGCTAAGAACGTGGTAAATTAAATACTCATGTTGATGTGGCTTAATTTTTCACGGCTCAATTGAAAAAGAGGACGTAATATTACAAAAATGCAAATTGTAGGAGAACAATAGTGTAAGTGACGAGGACGGAGAGTAGACGCAGCGGTAACTTAGCGTCCACTGAAACAACGCCACAGGCGCTCATTGCTTCGCTCGACGCTCTGCACGCTCGCAGCAGACTTTTATACACCAACCGCTCTTCCACTACACATAGCATTTAACATTAATTTATTTTAAAATAAAAATAAACTACATATTTCAATTACTCAAATTTCGTGAACTTAACACAAAAAAAATTAAGTTATTATTAAATCACCTCTTTTTTTGTTTCGCACACACAAAATCATTTGTTGCACAGAAACTTATGCTAGTTTCAGAAATTCAGTGTGGAAGACATTATTATTACATGGATTATAATTTCTATATTTTAAATATATTTCGGTACTCACCTGAACATTCCTTTACTTGAGACATTAAAAGTACAATTTGAGTATTTTTGAGAGTTATAAAAAAGTTTTCACATTCAAAGCTGATCAACACTAGCAGCACTATATTTTTTACTGCCCACATCAAGAACATGCCTATAACAACCGTGATTTCCGAAAACTGTAAAAGATATTAATTTTATAATAAAAAAAAATTGCAAACATAAATGACAAGTGTCAAAACCAAATATGAAAAAACTTGAACAGTAGTGATATAAAGTAAGTTAGTTTACTATAATATACACCACCTTCAACGGTCCAATAATATAATTTTCTCGTAAACTTGAGGTTATCTGGAAGAGATCGCTTTTTAGCAATAAGACCGTCTTATTTTTTTTAACATCTCTTTTTTAACTTACTGTAATCTTTTTGTTTTTACCATCTTTGTTGTGTACAATAAAGTACATATAATAATAATAGTAACATATTGTTGTCACCAATTCAGCTTTAGACGGTATGTGCGATGGTCAAAAAGTCAGCTCAGAATAATGATACTATAGAGGTAACCATGGACTAGGTAAGTCTAGACCTGTGTATCTTAGGTCCAATGGTCAGAGTCAGACTAGTTAGATGGGGTCTAAGTTTCTGATCCCATCTGGTGATAACTTTAAGGCAAACACACAAATCGTTCCAGGTTCACTAGTTTGCTGATCCGCCACGTTTTCATTAGCGTTTATATACGCAAAATCATCAGCGAATCTAGGTGTACATCAATTCTCAACGTTATTATTCTGGGTATGTTTTATACGTGGTAGAGCCATGCTACAGCTATATCAATACTACAGTTGTAGCACGAATGGGTCGGCTCGACCGGGGTAGGACCACGCTCTCACAGAATACCAGCGTAAAATAGCAGCTTAACGCTGCTGCGTTTCGTTTGGTGAGTGTAGAGAACCGGAAACCTTTTTTACTGGAAAAGAGGCATTCCAACTTAGTCCTCACGGTTGACAACGCATCTGCATTTTGATTCGCAAACGAGAATGGATGTAGATGTCTATGGGCCACAGCAACTACTTACCATCAGGTGGACTGTGTGCTTGCTTGTCACCCTTATACTATAAAAAAACTTATTTATTTATTTTATTTACCCTTTGTTGTACACCAAAATACAATATACAAAATAATGAGTACAGTTAAATCTAAAGTAGAATATGTACAACAGGCGGTCTTATCACTCTGAAAGTGATCTCTTACAGATAACTTTAGCGTAGAGAACTGATGCAAACAATAGTTAAAGATAGAGGGGGCGTACAAAATAAAAAATGAAAATACATATAAATAAAGTTAAGTAAAGATTAAATATAATATCATATAATAGATTAAAGGAAAATAGTACGAAAACGAAAAGTAATTTATCTAATAGCGTCCTAAGTAGTACGATTTAACACGACTTTTGAAAGATTAAAAAGATTTAGCACGACGAAGGTGAAGAGGTAAAGAGTTCCACAAGCCCACAGCAGTTCTGTATAGCATTTCTTAAAAAATGAGGGAGAGAGCAAAGCAGTCGGGAGAGAAAGATCGGCAGAGAATCGAAAGAACCGATTATGGGTAAGGGAAAGATATTGGAAATGATCTTTTAAATAATCAGGAGTGGAAGGATCAAACAGCACGCCATACAAAGCGGAGAGTGTGTGAGTATTCCTGCAACGACGGATCGAGAGCCATTTGAGCTGTTTTTGCGAAATTCAGAGATATGATCATATTTGCAAAGCCCAAATATAAATCTAATACATAAATTTTAAATGCGCTCAAGCTTATTAAGCTGCTCCTCGGTAATGCCAAGATAGGAAATATCAGCATAGTCAAGGATAGCCAGAAGTAGAGACTGGGCGAGCGTAACTTTAGTTACTGTGGGAAGAAAATTACGTTATCTACGTAAAGAACTTAACGCAGCAAACATTTTTCTACTAATCTCATTAACCTGTGAGGTCCAAGACATATAAGAGTAGAGATACAACCCTAGGTTTTTAACCTAGTTACTGTAAGGGATTTGAGTGCAGTCTAGTAAATTACTCGTTATATTTAAAATAGTATTCCCGTTCGCCATACTTTTATAGTCTGGTAGACACAATTTCATAGCTTTCACGTTGCTAACTATCGCTCTGGCGCTAATTTTAAGCCTTTTATTTAATCGAATCCATGAAGCAAATACAAACAAGAGACGTTATACTTAAATTTCACTATGTAACAACACGTAACCCTTTGCGGGGTGAGGGGATGCAAAGCCCCGCCTACTTTACACTATCTACATCTACGGATAAATAGTGAAATTACTCGAATCGTTCCATATCGATGTTGTAATGTAGTTTAACTACCTTGAAGGTAGATGGCGGCCTGTTCATAAAATGATTATAAACTATAAAAATAATATTTTGGCGATTAAAATTTCTTTATGTCTGAATACAAAACAAATTTCAGCACGTTGGTATGATTATTTCACCAATACTGAGCTCTACGTATCTTTATATTTTTAGTTCACATTACACAAAGTGCCGCCATCTAGTGTCGAATATATTTAATTATATTTGGTAGCCAACGCAAAGAGATTTTTCTAGAACTATTTTAATAAATTAGATGTTAAATTACTTACAAATGAAATGTGATGCCATCCATAACATCAGAGCGTATATCTGAGTAATTTTACACGATAAAACACAGCACTTCATCCTTTTCTTCTTAATACTACAAAAATACACCGATTTGCGATTTTCAACACATAAGCGTACAGGACGAATGCTGACGTATACTAACTAAAGCCACGCCCACTATGATGACGTCAGAACCTACTTAGAATCACAGTGCACAGTTGCTTATGCCGTCTCCTCTTTGTATTTGCTTCATGATCGAATTTTACGCCTCCACCAGACTGCGAACTTTTAATTATCCTTAGTTTATACATACCATAATAACTGCTTGAACATTACTCAGAGACTGTCCAAATGTTAATACAGTGTAATACAAAATCTGTAATATTATGATTATGTTAATAGGAAAATACATAATTTTACATGTTATATAATACAATTAACTTTGTGTTGACGAAATCAAATATTACCGGAATCGAACATATCTTTTTGTAAATATCAGATGCATCGAGTACTTCTATCAAAGCATTTTTCATTTTATTCCCTTCATCTACTCGTTTTGCTGCTAATGGTGCGTGATGTATAACACTAACTTCGTATGTATGTTTCAGTTTCATATTCCATATTACAATATTACATCTTAAAAATTTAATCATCCGGATCATGTAAATTATGTCAAGATCAGCCAGTAATAAAGGAAAACAAGCTAAAATCCACCGTAAGTTAAGACCTCCCAATACGGCGTAACTGGAGCATATTACAATATAGAATAAAATAATGACTAAAACATGAATCCAGTTACCAGTGACAAATTGTCTATAGGTTATATGAGTAAACTTCTGTATTTTTTGAAATTTCAATATGAAATCTATGTTTAAGTCGCTTTGAATGACATTATTTATGGCATTGGTAATCCATCCAAAAGTAGTTATACAACTATTAAATATTAATATTACATACAAATTTGATGGAAATTGTAATATTGCTGTGTCAATTATAATGATGTAGATATAAGTAATGATCACGCAGAAAGTACTGCAAATATAAATACAGTTAGCAATGCGGCTATTGGGCGTTATAAAGTTATAACGAATGCAATATTTTGGAGAAAACATCATTTGTTGAATAAAATTTAAAGGAAGAAGAAATTTTTGTAAATCAGCTTCAAGAAAATTGTCTAAAAGAATTTCGTTTCGAACAGGATTGGCTAGAAATAACACCTCATTTGACAATAGCTTCGACATAACTACTAATGTAGCACAGCACTTAACGCACTAATATATATACTTTAATAATTTTGAAAGTTATTAGTGATGATATTAATTCGCCATAATTTACTCCATTGGTATCAAAGATGCTATGTGTCGTCGAAATTTTATTTTATTTTTCAGTGGTGTATCAAGAAAGTTAAATTTTAAATTGAATGTAAAGAATGGCGTCGTTTTATAAGACGTTTGAACAGCCCTTGAGCTTCTTAATATGTAATTGAAACATAAAACTGTTCAAGGTATTTATTAAGAGTATTACTTTTATGAGTTGTTTAATTGCATTAACAGAACAACATTCATCATTGTAGTTGTCAACTTGTCGATCAACTAATGACGTAGCCTAAGTAATAATGTAAATGGATAATGCATATTTTACGTAATTTACTCAGAACATTATATCGATGTTCCGAGCAAAACGTCGGTAATGGTAAAACTTATATTTTTATATACATAAGATACAGTTTTTGTGGTATAAATCAGGTACCTATTGGAATATAAAAGTGATTTATATATTATATGAAACTTATTTATGTTGACGTGGAGTTACATAATCTTAATGTAAGCAATATGATAAAATAAAACTTACTGAAAATGCAAAATATGTTTCAGAATTATTAACTTACGGGAATTTGCGGTAAATTTCTCAAAAGTCCAGTTATAGTCAAATTATACTACTGACTTATTGGACCACTTTTTTATTTAAGACAAAATTTAATTTACTATAATGAAGCTATTGCTCTAAAATTGAATAGACAAAGGCAATGATATAAAACTCTGTTTTTGCAGTAAAAAAAAAAACAAAATTATATTTTCTAAGTAATCGTCTAATTTTAGCAAAATTTTTAGAGACATTAAAATGTAATGTGAAGTTTTATGAAATAAAGTATTAAAACTTATGAGTATAATGCTATTATACTCATAAGTTGGAGCAAGTTGGGAAACGCGGGTGTGCCGGCAGATTATACTTCTCTGATCAAGTACTGGTACAGTAATCAAAAAAACCAGGTGAGATGGGCGGGTACGCTATCAGATGAATATAGATTAAAATCTGGTGTCAGACAAGGCGGTTTAATCTCACCGTTGTTATTTAATTTATATATTAACCAGCTTATCGTGGAACTGGTTAGCACACATGTCGGCTGTCATATTGACGAGACATGTGTTAATAATATAAAAAATCTTGTTTTTAGAGCACCGAAACAGCCACCGCGTCGTGTTCCTCCCGTATATCTCAATGGTATAGTCCTAAATATTGTTAATACTCTTAAGTATCTTGGTCACATTATAACGAGTGATTTAAGAGATGATTGTGATATAGAGAGGGAGCGTAGGGCGCTGGCAGTTAGGAGCAATATGCTTGCCCGCAGGTTTGCTCGATGTACAGATGACGTAAAAGTCACTCTTTTCAAAGCATTTTGCCAATCCTTTTACTCGAGTAGCCTGTGGGTATCATACAGGCGACGAGCTTACAGCGCCCTTCGCATTCAATACAATAACGCTTTTAGAATGCTGTTGGGACTGCCATGGCGCTGTAGTGCTTCGAAAATGTTCGCGGATACTAGAACTAATGGATTTCATGCTGTTATGCGAAAGAAATCAGCCTCAATGTTACAGCGTCTGCGAAACAGTAATAACAGCATTTTAAAAATGATCGCGGCGAGACCGGATTGCCACTTTCAGCGACACTGGGTAGAGCTGACAATAGGATTAAAAAGGTAATGAATTATGTATATATGTTATTATAATGTAGGCATAAATACTAACATTACTTACATAGTTATTAATTAAAATTGTTACTAATATGCTTACACTTAATATGGACTAATTATGTCTGAAATAATATATTATTATTATTGGGGTTATCTATAAAGTTTTCTAATCTGGTTGGGCTGTTTAAATATATAATTATAAACGAAATATATAAACATACATAAATATCAATAAAATAGTATAAATACATAAAAAATACATAAATATATAAAAAACCCAACCAGATGGAAGCCCTCGGCAGGGGAGACCAAACGGCCGAGGGTTAGGGGGAAAGGGAAAGAAACCGGCGGACGATGCGGGCAGTATCGAGGAGCACCGCCTTCTGCATTTGAGCTTGGAGCGGTCCGTCACGGAGTCCCAGTCGCCTCAGATGACCCGAGAGGCTAACTGGGATTAACCCGTTCGCAGAAACGACCACAGGAATAATTTCGGCCGGCAGACCACCCCACATGTCGCTCACCTCGTGAGCCAGGTCCAGATATTTTGTCAGCTTATCTGTTTCAGCTTTCACGAGGTTCTCGTCATAGGGAATGTTAATGTCGACCAAAAATATCCTTGACTGTGCCCGGTCCATCAGCACAATATCAGGCTTATTCGCAAGAATAGTCCTGTCTGTGATGATGGCCCGGTCCCAGTAGAGCCTAGCGCGGTCATTTTCGAGCACGGCTTCCGGCAAGTACTTATAATATGGTAGTTTCCGATCCACGAGACCGTATTTCAGAGCGAGCTCCTGGTGTAGAATCCTGGCTACTAGGTTGTGTCTGTGCAAATACTCAGAGTTAGAAAGCGCCGAACAACCGGAGATGACATGCCTAAGTGACTCACCGGGATGGCGACAAGCTCGACAGATGTCGACGGTGCCATCCTTTAGGATGTATCTCCGATAATTGTTGGTCTTAATAACCTGATCCTGTATTGCACAGACAAAACCCTCAGTTTCCCCAAAGAGGTCACTGAAACGTAGCCAGTGGAGGGAGGCGACTGTGTCTACGAAAGGCTCATGAAGGGCCTTGTAGAACCTCCCGTGGAGCTCCTTCTCCTTCCATACGGTCTCCCGGTCGGAAATGCTCTGTACTGCCGGGTCTTGCCATTGCTCGTTGGCTAAGGATAGAGGGGTTAGCCCTTTATCACAAGAAATAACGTCCCTATAGTATGGATCATCCGCTCTCGTCAGAAAGTAATTACGGAGGCTGCACACTTCGCGATTATGCATGATAAGCGCGCTTAAAAAACCGCGCCCACCATGCTTTCGCGGCAAGTACAGCCTCATTACTGACGATCTCGGATGATGCACCCTGTGGGACGTTATTATAGTGCGGACTTTTCTGTCCAGAGCGTTCAGTTCGGTCTGAGTCCACCTGAGTATGCCAAAGGTATACATGAGAACAGGCATGATCCAACCGTTATATGCGTGCGTCTTATTCACACCGGACAAAAGGCTATTAAGCACTTTGGTCAAGCGTGCATAAAACACATCGCAAACTGACCGTTTCATACCCGACTCATCTACACCGATGTTCTGTGACATACCCAGGTATCGGTATGTTTCAGCCTCGGAAAGGGTCCTTATGCTGATGGGCATAGATAAGTCTATGCCCTCAGAGTTAGCAACCCTTCCCCTTTCGACATGGAGAATCGCACACTTATCCGTCCCCAGCCCCATTCTAATAGAATTGCTAAAATCACAAGTGATGTTTAGCAATTCCATAAGATGAGAGCGACTGGAGGCGAATAATTTGAGATCATCCATATAGAAAAGGTGGGTCACTTTTGTACCTCCTCTCCGAAGCTGAAATCCCCTCCCGGAGCCCTCCAGTAAGGTACTGAGAGGGTTCAGAGAGAGGCAGAACCAGGTTGGACTCAAACAATCGCTCTGGAAGATACCCCTTCTTATCTTTATGTGGTTCTCCGCAGCCGTCATCCGCTCGCCTAGATGACAAAGGATCGTGCTCCATTGCCCCATACACTGCCCGAGGAAGTCTCGAACTGTACAGTCAACCTTGTACAGCTCGAGGACCTTCTTAAGCCATGTATGAGGCACCGAGTCGAATGCCTTTTTGTAGTCTATCCAGGCGGCGGAGAGGTTCCGACGGTTGCGTTTAACCACCTTGCCAATGACCGCGTCAATGAGGAGTGGTTCCTTGGTTCCACGACCACCGCCCCGACATCCATTTTGAGCGCGCGACATCACCTGGTTTGAGTTCAGGTGACGAATGATTCTCGCGCTCAAAATGGATGTTAGTGTCTTGTATATGGTAGGTAGACACGTTATGGGGCGGTATTTGCTCGGGTCTGTGGAATCCCGGTCCTTAGGAACCAAATGAGTGATCCCAGTAGTGAAGAGGCTCGGGAGCGACTTTTGGTCGAGAGCCTCTTGAAACTGTCGGGCGAGAACAGCGTGACACACCATGAACCCATTCAGCCAGTAGTGATGCAGTCCGTCGAGTCCCGGACTTTTCCAGTTCGGGGCCCTACGGACCGCCTCAGCTACGTCATCCGGCATTATGAGGACGGGGTCCATGGGCGTAACATTCGCACACTGACTCTCCACGACTTCCGTCCAAGGGCCCTCGCTGTGGTTTACGGGCTCTGACCACAGGCCGCGCCAGAATGCGATAGTGTCGGCCTGATTCGGTGCTGGGCCCGTTCCACGTACCATTGGTCGCTCCAGTGATTCATAGAGCCTCTTCTGATCACTCTGGAAGAGACGATTCTGGTTGAACCGTGTCGACCTCTCGGTATATCGCCGAATCCGCTTCCCCCAAGCAGCGATTCTCTGCTTCAGGTCGTCTATGCGCTCCGTCAGTTTTTGCGTTATATCCGGCTGGGACAAACTGATATTTGTCCCAGCAAACGCCATCCTGACGGTGCGCACAATTCTCGGCCTATTATTGCCTGACCTGAAGCTTATCAGTCTGCCAATAAGGGCCCTTGCCTTTGCGATACGGTCCTCAATCCTTCTTCTCCAGGCTGGGATGGCGCTACTTTGTCTAGTAGCGCGTCCAGCCGTGGGAACTTTGGCGCCAATAATGCGGCAAACTGCCAGTGCGGCGCCAAAAAGAATTGAGTCCGTCTCGCAAAGGTCCCGGCTGGCTTCCAAATAGGTCACCAGCATTGGGTTGAGAGCCCTCACGACAGCCCGATTCCGCTTGCTTAGGGGCATGCGCGGGAGTCGCGGTCGATTTTCGAGAGGCATACTGCGCGTTTCCAAAATAGCCTCTTCCAATGTACTCCTCATTTGCTCTAGTTCTAGTTCTTGGGCGACTGTTCCATCATCGTCTGAACCAACCATAACTGAAAGATTCAAGGCGGCATCCACGAGTGCTGGTTGCTCTGCATTTTGTGGCGCCGCATCCTCAGCCGTAGCATTGTCATCCGATGAGGGCACAGCCTCACGTCGTAGCCGTTCGAGTTCGGTGCTATTGAATATGTTTGAGCGCAAGATATACCGAACTCGGTCTGCCAGGTTTTGCTCGGTGACGGTTATAGATGGCTCCAGCTCAGCAAAAAGTCGATGCATCCTAGCCCGATACGCAAAACCTCCAATTTCTCCCCCTTTCGCCCTAAAATACGCCCGCAATGCGTTGCTATTCATCTGCATTGACCAACGCATGCGGCGTACTCCACCAGTGTCGGGTGCTGATTGCTGGGCCCGCGAAGACCCTGTCAACACCAAGCCAGCTGGTGGGGATGATGGATGCGAGGGGCTGCTAGGTGGTCGTGCAGCACCTCGCACTCGGCTGGCGGCCCGCATGCTGTCGCGTCCAGCGCCAGCTCCAGACGCGCCCCGGCGATCCCCAGGCAGCGGCCCTAAACGCAGTCTATTTCCTTCCATCATCCATAAATTGGGCGTCAATTAACGGGAGACGCCCAGGCCCGGCACCGTTTCATGATTTGGCCGAAAGCACAAGCGGGCCCAAATTAGCACCCTCAATTCTGCCGAGGCACGGCGCTCACACCTCTTGGCAAGATGCTGACTGACTGCACTGACGTAGCAGTTTTGTCACATAACCATTACGTCAGCGGGCGATGGGGTCGTCACTTCCCTACGCCATATTATTATTATTATTATTAATTTATTTTATATTATCAAAATCACATAATGTCACTGATGTAGGCGTAAAAATATTTTAATTTTAATAAAAATCACAAATTGTTACGAAATCAAAAAGATGAGTATTAAATGTAGTTTTGAAGTGAAGTTAATACTAATTTAGTCTGAAACTCGATTTGAATAATTATTAAAAAATTAAATAAAGTAATAAAATAAGAGTCTCTTCAACCGCATTA